ACTGCGGAATAAGCCGTTGCCGAATATTTCCGACACTGAGGGCGCCCTAAGTGGATTGATAGGCATTTGTACTGTGTACATTACAATATAAGATGTCACACATTCATTAAGGTGGGTTTTCAATATATCATCACACTTTATGCAACAAACATCTACAAACGATCATTATTTACCAAGCTCATTGATCCCTCTATATTCATGTTGTTGTAGTGTATTGAGTCATAGAGGTCATGCCCCCTTGTCCACCTTTTACCTATTCACCCATGATGCAACAGTGTATGTTATATAGTAATGGCTGCCACTAAATAAACATCCAGTTACCAAGTTCAATCTGAGTGTTATCGTGCGCATCAGCAAGGGTCTGACGGGATATCATAGTTGTAAAGAAGTTACGAGTAATGGTGTGGTCAATGCATGTCCGTGTAAAAGTTCCTCATATTGCGAATCTACTAAGGCTGTTCACTATTCTGCAAATGATGTCAATCAACTCAAGAGTTTATATTTCCATTGGGACTGATGGTAAAGTACAACTATTTGAAATTGTCAATCTTATTGCATTATGCGTAGATACAATTTTAAAGATTTTTAACACTCATTGTTCAATGTCCATATGTGATTGGTCTACAAACCAAATGACTAAATTGGCGCGAGAAACGTATATATGGACTTCGTTCATGTGCTCACTCGTTTTGAAACTTCATGTATACTGTAAAGTCAATATACCGTTTGCTGATCTGGCTATGTTGTGTAGTGCATTTATCATGTTTTTGTCAGTCGTTTGTTTTGTGTTCTTAACTTCTGTAAACAGGTGGTATTTGGTTTTTGATATCACCATCAAAAACACTAATAAAATATTAGAAACTCACCTATGAACCAGGGACATAACCTATCAATGTCATTAAAAATTCGATTTTTCATGGCGTATATTCAGAGAGCATACAACCTCAATTCAATACTCAAATCATAATCTTTTGATAATAAATCGTTTTATTGGAACACAAGACTGCAAAACAGTTTTGATAAACTATTTGTCTACAGTGACAAGTGGAAGCTACAGATAAATGTTACCAAATTCGTATTTTCAACAAACTGGGTGTAAGGATATGTACTAAACACAGAACACTCATGATCAGTAACAGCATATTAAGCCGAATCACCCACTAATCCCAAAGTAGATGTTTATCTCTTCTGTGAATGATCCACTAGATCAATAAATACAGCTAGATTAAATGAGATAATACACGTGTGTCAGTGGTGGGTCGAGTTACAGCTGCCTTCATCCAATGTGACAGAGTGAGCTTCATTAACACAAGCATCATCACGCGAATATCTAAGAAATTGTTGGCAAGAAAGATGCCGTGAACACGAGTGGTAAGTATGCGTGTTTTGCAACAGAACCTTATAGTGAATATAGTTTATTTGTTTATGAATGTATTGCCTACAAAAATGCACAATTATTTGTCAAGTCACAGTGAGGGACTGTGGTCAAGTG